GAGAGGTGGTGGGTGCTTTGGGAGGAACGGTTGGTGAAAGGGCTGGAGGGAGGCAGCATGTCTGGCCTGGCAGGAATAGGCCTTGGGTTACTGCTGGTAATCCTGCCATCCTCTTGTGGGATTAGAGGAGGTCAGAACATGTGGCCTCCTTGCCATCTTTGCAGTACCAAAAGGATTTCTGGAAAGGTGTACAATGATGATCTTGGTTTAAAAAAACAAAAAGTAAACCCACTGCCATTGAGTCGATCCAACTCATAGTGGCCTTGTAGAACAGAGCAGAATTGCCCCACAGGGTTTCCAAGGCTGGAAATCTTTAGGGAAACAGACTGCCTCATCTTTCTCCCCTGGAGTAGTCCATGGGTTCAAACCACCAACCTTTTGGTTAGCAATCCAATGCTTTAACCATAGAGCCACCAGCTTTATCCTGATCTTGGGTTTAGTCATTATAACAGGGACCCATAAAATAGATGATAAGAACAGAAAAGTGATATTCGTCTACCTAACAGTCAGTTCTCCCTGCACAGATATTTTCAGTAAACAGTAAATGTCATAGTTCAAAATTTTTTAGAAGAGAATAGTATTTTTGCAATAATGTAAGAATGTACTACATACATTGTTTATAATGACAGAGCAACCCAAATGTCTTTTAATAACAGAATGAATAAATTATGGCAATTCATCATGAATATCCCATAAAAAATCTACACACAACATGGACAAATCTCAAAAATACAATTTTGTAAGCAATAAGCAAGGCACAGAAGCAAAATATAGTTTGATTGTCATCTACTAAAGATCAAAAACAGGAAACACTACTAAACAATTAGGTTTAATTCGGGCTATGTTCATTTTTGGTTTTGGTGGTGGTGTTTTGTTTTTGCATAGGGGAGGAATACAAATGAGTGGAAGCACCCAGATTTTATAATCACTCATAATGTTGTACTTCTTAGGTTCACACAAATTGTTTATCTTCGTCTCTATATTTGAAAAACAATAATCCATAATTTCAAAAATTTTAAGAACTAAAGAATAATAAAAGAAGAAAATGTCATTCTTCCCGAGTTCTGTCATATCTGTCATATCTCCTATCCTGGTACTGAAGTAGGTACTTGGTACTATGAGGAGAGTTAGGTGACAAGGCCAACAACCTGAAATTAGCAGAGTGGGAACAAATAGGGCTTTAATGAGTGGGAACATGGGGCTTTAATGATGACACTAAGGGACTGAATTAATCAACCTAGAGCTACTGCTACGATTTCTGCCTGTATGTGAATTTCCTTTTGTTTAATTGAGCCATTTTGAAATGAACTTTCTGTTTATTTATATCTAATAGTATCCTTTCTGATTTTACCTCCTTCTATAATTTTATAATGATCTCTGGTGGTGCAGAGTTAAAGCATGACTGCTAACCAACAGGTCGGCAGATGGAACCTACCAGCCGCTCCATGGGAGAAAGATAAGGCAGTCTGCTTCCATAAAGATTTACAGCCTTGGAAAACCTGTGGGGCAATTTCACTCTGTCCTAGAAGGTGTCAGATTCAACTCAATGGCAGTGGGTTTGGGCTTATAATTTTAGAGCAGCCTGCACTTCCATTTCATCACAAACATGATGGAATTAATACTGTGTTTGTAATTATTTGTTAAATGTCCCTTATCTTTTGGACTATAAGCTCTTTGAGAGTCAGGACTGTGTCTGTCATATGTCTTGAAGCACAACATCACAAAACTTAAGGAATGCCGTAAAAGCAGTGCTCAGAGAAAAATTTACAGAGGTAAATATCGACATTAAAAAAAAAAAAAACTCAAAAAAATAAATAACTTTACAACTTGAGAAATTAGAAAAAGAGTTAATTAAGCCCAAAGCTACCAGAAGGAAGAAATAACTAACATCAGAGCAAAAATAAGTAAAATAGAGACTACAGAAATAACGAGAGAATGAATGAAACCAGAAGCTGGGTTTTTTTTTTAAAAAGATCAGTAAAATGGACAAACCTTTAGCTAAACTGACAAAAAGAGAAGATGAAAATATCTAAAATTAGAAATGAAAATAGGGACATTACTAATGTGGTTTTTCAGAAAGAAAAAAAATCGTTAAGAGAATACTATGAATCATACTATACGTGCTGACAAATCAGATGACCTTGATGAAACTGACAAATTCTTAGAAATACATAAATTACCTAAACTGACTCAAGAAGAAAAAAATCTTCAGTAGAAAATCTCGATGGCTCAATGATAGATTGAATAAGTAATCAAAACCCTCCCCTCCCCCAAAAAAAGGCCTGAATTAAATGCCTTCACTGTGGAATTCTACCGAACATTAATAGAAAAAAGGGTAATCCTTCCTAAATACACCCAAAATTTAGAAGAGAGGAAAAAATTTAAGATATCAATTTAAATAATTATTTGGCACCCACACTATAACTTCAAAAATATGAGGTATATAAGATAAGATGACATGACCTTATCTTAATGAAGTTCGTAAGAAACCCAAACTACATGACATTATGTGTTATATATTAAACACAGGTATGCAAAAGAAATATACCAAAAGTGATTAACCTACAAATAAAATTATGAAAACAATCACATATTAAATTTCTACAAAGATTTTTAAATGGTTTATAAACTTAGCACTTACCTTCATATTTAAAATGGTAGCATTTTCCAAGCAATAATACAGGGGAATTTCTACTAAAATAGGTCTTTGTTTTCAACACCCAACCTAAAGGAAAAAAAATAAAATTTCTGCAATTACAATAGTTAAGGCTAAAATTCCAGTATTTTTGTTTTATTATTTTAGCTTAAACCACCAATTATCAATTATGAATGCACACTTTTTGCAAGAGTTTCAAAATATTGGACAATAAACTGAAAATAAAGTCGATTTTTGCTTTTTTCCAATATAGTTAAGTATTTTAACCATAGTCTATCAATTTAAATAACTTAAGAGAGAAATATTTTTACTTTAATTCATTTTCAAACAGGATGTAATGTTCTTACGACACAACATTCAAAAGGCATAAATTCTACTCCAGTTTCCCTGTCACCAAGCTCTTTCTCCAAGGGCAAAAAATGTTACCAATTTTACTTGTCTTCCCATTTTAGATAATTTTATAATTATAATAAGTTGAAAGTATTTGAATATCCCAATGAAGTCATTTAGGGAAACAATCACACAGTAGACTAATGTATAGGGTATTAGTGGATCTCTGATGGTTCCTGGGGAAATATATTACAACTCCATCATTGCAGCCAAATGAAGATGTCTGAAAGTGGAATATAAGGCAGACCATCTCAATTGTCCACCTCCCAACCATCAATCACCAACTTTAGATGCTAATTTTTCATTGTTCTAATTTTCTTCCTACTAAATCTTCAGCATCTAAAAAGTAGTATCTTTGTGGCATTTCATGAGGCTAATGAACATGTTGTTAGCTGCCATCAAGTTGGCCCTGACTCCTTGCACTCCTTGCACACACAACAAAATGTTGTCCAGTCCTGAACCATCCCCATCAGTTGTGGATCAGACAACTGTGATTCACAGAGTTTTCACTGGCTGAAAACTAGTCTAAGTCTGAAACCTGCAGCATACAAAAGATCCACTGATGATGAGTGGTAGCTTTGCATGAGGTGCATTGGTTGGGAATTGAACCCTAGTCTCCAGAATGGAAGGCAAGAATTCTGTCACTAAACCACCACTGTCCTCCCTCTGAATATAACACAAAACCAAATTCATTGCTGTTGAGTCAATTCCAACTCACAGTAACCTTAAAGGACAGATTAGAACTGCTTTTTAGGGTTAAAGGGCAGTAAATCTTTACAGAAGCAGAATGCCATCTTTCTCTTACAAACTGGCTGGTGGGTTTGAACTGCCAATCTTGCAGTTACCTGTTGAGTGCTTAACTATTGCACTACCATGGCTCTCACTCTGAATACAGTAGCTCTTAAAATAAATTTCTGAATCTCCTGAGATAAAGCACTTGTCTGTTACCTTATTGAATATTCCCAAATATATGAAATTCCTGACTGTTAATGGTAGGATTAAAGCAGCTCCCAAAATAGAAATGTATAGGAAGAAAAAGAATTTGAAATTAAGAGTCCATAGGTTTGGGTCCAATCTTAGTGAGATTATCTGCCATTTTACTCAAGTTATTATAAAATTTAAAAGGGGCAACTGTAATGAAAAATGTTCCTTAAAAAATGATATAAATAAATGCAGATATGTATTTATAATAAAGATGATGCGAGTATCCGAATTTGGTAACGAAAGAGAGAAAATGGAAAGTGAAATACACTAATTAGACCTTCAAAAGAGCTCTGGTGGCATAGTGCCTAAGATATCTGACTGCTAACCAGAAGGCTGGTGATTCAAATCTACCAGCCACTCCACAGAAGAAAGACTGGGCAATCTATTAGATGTACTGCCTCAGAAATCCAAAGAAGCTGCTATGAGTTGGAATCAACTCAATGGTGGCGAGTTTGGTTGGTTTGTTTTTTTCCCATTCTCATATATGCCACATCACTGTGTACCTTTGAGTGGCTCATAGTGACTCTGCATGACAGAGTAGAACTGTCCAAATAGCTTTCAAGGCTGTAATCTTTACACAAGCAGACTGCCAGGTCTTTCTCCGACGAGTGATTGGTGGCTTCAAATGACCAGCCTTTTGGTTAGCAGCTGAGCACTTAACCATTGTACCACCAGGGCAAATATTACTGCCAAATAAATCTCCCTATGGCTCAGTTTTTATTTGGTAACTCTTTTGTTCAAAACACATCCTCATAACTCATTACTTAAATTTATTATGACCTCCTCAGTCATACTAAAGACTTCCACAATATGACACAAATTTCATTTACAGCTGTATTTCCTACTACTCTTCACCTACACTCAAAATGGGCTTTACCATTTGGCTCATGCTGTCCTGACTAAAATGACTTCCTCAATACCTGCTCATCTAAATCCCACCTTTCTTAATACTCAAACATGTTCTTCTATGCCACTTTTTCCTTTTCTTACTTGGCTCTGATCTCTTCTCTGAACTTCAATGAAGAATTAGTATTTGCTGACCATCTATTGGGTACAAGAAATTAGATAATGAACTTTACATGTATTATCTCTTAGAAATATTATTAGTTCCCACTGGAATGATTCCAATCTCCAAAACAGCAACAATCCCTTCCCCCAAAAAAGGCAGTATTTCGAAACCCAATCCTAAGAACTCAATAAAAACAAATGCAAATAAAGAGATAACCTTTAGGGAGGAATACTCCTTCTCTCTATGCTTTACTCTCTGCCTATGGCCTCTTACCAGCCCTTTCTCTGCAAAAAGTATGAACATGATTGGTCACAACCCTAAATACTACGAAAGTCAACATTTTACAACACAAGATTGCAATGTTTTAAAGTTCAACAAGCACTCAAGTGATACATATATTCTCTATTATTCCTATTTTCCACAGAACCTGGCACGGCCTAACCCCTCCAACAGACTCACTTCTTTAATACTCCATGAAAGCTGTTGTTGTTGTTATGTGCCGTCGAGTCAAACCCGACTCATAGCGACCCCTCCTTGGGTTTCCGAGGCAGTATCACTACGGAAGTAGGATTGCCCAACCTTCCTTCTGAGGAGTGGCTGGTGGGTTTGAACCGCCAGCCGTCTGGTTAGCAGGCAAGTGTCTTAGCCACTATGCTACCAGAGCTCCCCCATGAAAGCTAGGACATGTCAAAAAGCCCAACCATTTCTCTATCTTCACAGGCATGACTGAGCTGAATCAGACAAATATGCCAAGTGACTAAACTATAAAATACACTTGTTTCTTTTACTTAGCTTTAATTGACTAGTTTTCATTTTATTTTTATAAAAGGTTCATAGAAATGTATCACTTGTCTCTACCCCAGTTACTGATCTAAACCAGGACACTAAGGGGGAGAGAAGGAGAAATGGACATAAGAACATGCAGTCAGGAGGAAACAGGTCCTGAGGTATAGGAAAGAGCCATGAATAAGGACTCTCACAAATATGTTCCTCTTTTGTATGCTAAAGAAGCGCTGGTGGTGTAGTAATTAAAGCATTTGGCTGCTACCCAAAAAGCCCCAAAAAGTCAATGGCTTGAACCCACCAGCCACTCTGTGGGAAAAAGACGAAGCAGCCTGCCTCTCTAAAGATTTACAGCTTTGGAAACCCCAAGAGGCAGTTCTACTGTGTCCTATAGAGTCATTATGAATCAGAATTGACTCAATAGCAGTGGGTGTGTGTGTGTGTATATATATATATACACATATATATATACATATAAATACATATATCTAGCAGTGGGCATATATATAGAGAGAGAGAAAGAAATACATTCATAAGAATCCTCCATATTCAAGAGTATATTTTCATTCTGTTCCTTCTCTTCACATTTCAATTTCTACTTATAGCAGCAAGGCGGTGGAAAAAAGATAAATAAAATGTTAGGATTTCTAAATGAAATAAATTAAATATAACTAAATAGTTTGAGAAATTCCAGTATATTTGGCAAATGGAACATTTGGCAGAGTTGTCATTCAATAAATTAACTCAGAACAGTTAATGCCTATGAAGGGTAGAAACTGACCAGAAGAAAGCACGAGGAAACTTTCTGAGGTGATGGAAATGTTCTATAAATTGATCGGACTGTTGCTTTCATAGGTGTATATATGTGTCAAAGCTTTTCATATTATCTATTTAAAATCTGTCAAAACACCCCAAAACTTATTAATTTGAAACAACTTTTTCTTGTATTTCACACAATTCTGTGGATTGACTAAGCTCAACTGGGCAGTTCTTCTCCTGGTCTTCCTTAGAATCTCTAATATAGTGGGATCAGATGGAGAGGTTTAAATGGGACACTGGGTCAGCTGGGTCCCTCTGTCTTACAAAGCCTTTCCTCTTCGTGTGACCTCTCCATGCAGGTTCTTGAACAAGGTATCTGGCCTGGGTGGTTGCATGGCAGCTCTCAGCTCCAACCCTGAGTAAGCAGAAGTTGCCTAGAATTGACACAGCATCCTCCTATCTTGTGCTATTTGTTAATGAGGAGCACAGCCCAGCCCAGATCAATGAGAGGAGAAACAACACAAGGGCAATTCATTGACAGCTACTTTGGTGATTGGCTGCCTTAAACAGAATCGGCTGCCTTAAACAGAATCTTACAAAGATTCTATCTACTATGGACTTTTACAAAGAACCTATAGTTCTTTGAAAATCATAACTGAGGTATCAAAAGATGCTGAAAATTCAAAGAGCAGAGCAATAATAAAGATAATGATTTTCTGGAGGATGAGAAACATCCAGAAGAAGTATGATTTATTAATTTTTTTAAAAAAAAAAAGGAAATCAAGTTTATATACTTCATAAAGTCATGCCCCAAAAAAGGAAAAGTGAAAGACTTTTTCAAGAAAGTACAGTCCACTGACCTTTAACTGTTAAGTGTTATCTCTAGCTCCATTTTCAGTATATCATAGTATTTATAAAAATATTATACTCAAAAGGAACCTCAAGCAATTCACAATAATTTACTGAGGGAGATGCAGTACAGTGAATTACTTAATATCTAGCCATAGTTTTTGTTAACTCCCACCTAATGACTGGTGGGACTATGCAAACGTGAGGTGCTTATGGCTCACCAAGGGGATTAGACAGCTTCCTAATACTGTAAATAAAATGCATGGCACCTTTGTGAGGTTAGGCCATGCAAATATGGTGTCTGGACCCCTAACATGAGGACTCTATCAGCTTTGCCATACCTCTAAGCTTAAATGAGCTATCCTAGAGGTGGAAAAGGGGAATCTCACTACCATGAAGAAACAAAAGCCAGGATTATAGCATGTCCTTTGCACCTGAGATCCCTGCGCTGAACCACCTTGATTCAGGACACAAATGGCTGTGACACCAATGACAGTGAGAAGCAACTGCAGAGAAATGACAGCAAAGAAGGAGCAGAACTGAGACTGGCATGAGACAGAGCAGTGGGCTTACCAGCACACAGAGTGAAAAACTTGAATGCTTTCAGGCCAAGGCTTGCTGACTGAGTGGGGTGCCTCTGGGAATTTATCAGCAGAGATAATAGGGTTTTGTGGCACTTGCCAGAGCAGGACAGAGGCCAGGCCAAGGAGTCAAGGCATGGCTGAGAGGAGGCTGCTCTGACCCAAGAACTGTATCCTGCGCATTCCTGATCCTAAATTGTAACCTGTTACTTTCCTAATAAATTCCATGATTTTGAGTATTATCTATGAGTTCCATGTGGCTACTGCACTGGATTACTGTACCAAGCACAGAAGTAGAGAGTGCTATGGGAAAGACTGGGGGTGTGAGAACTGGTAAAAAGATTGGAAGGTGGAAGTATGTCTGATCTCTGCCTCATAGAAATCAGCTGCTGATGTTGATCTTGATTCTCCTTCCCCGTTGTGAAGGTAGAACAGGTCTGATACTCTCATGCCATTTTTACAGAAGATGGCACAGTATCAAATGTTTCCTCTGATTTATATTGTCGTTGTTAGGTGCCGTCGAGTCAGCTCCAACTCATAGTGACCCTATGTACAACAGAATGAAACACTCCCTGGTCCTGTGCCAGACTCACAATCCTTGCTATACCTCAGCACATCATTGCTGCCACTGTGTCAATCCATCTCACTGAGGGCCTTCCCCTTTTTGGTTGATCTTCCACTTTTCCAAGCATGATATCCTTTTCCAGGGAATAGTTCCTTCTGACGACAAGACCAAAGCAGGTGAGGTGAAGTCTGGCCATTCTCACTTCCAAGAAGCATTCAGGCTGCACTTCTTGCACGTCAGATTTGTTAGTTCTTTTGGCAGTCCACGGTACTTTCAGTACTCTTCACCAACACCACAACTCAAAAGCATCAACTCTTCTTTGGTCTTCCATATTTATTGTCCAGCTCTCACATGTATATGTGGCGACTGAAAATACTATTTTTAAATCATGATACTTACTATACTTCATGTTGTTCCAGGCAGATATGAATTTAGTTTTCAGCTTGTCAACTTCATCTGTTCCTGTAGCCTCCATATTCAAATTCTAAATAAAAAGCCATCACTTGGCTGCATGCTTCTGCAGTTTAACCTTTTGTACTGACTAAGAGAAAAAAAAAATTAAGTAATGAGTACATATTATATGGTGCAAAACCTGCCAACGTTACTTAAGTGATTAAGATACAATTTGAATTGGAGATTAGTAAACTAATTCTCATTTTACAGAAGATCTTGTATAATATATTCTATCGATATTTTAATTATGAGAGTCAATATCAAATATACAATAAAATTATGACATAAAACCAAACAATAATCTCCCCCAATTGCTCACAATTGAAAACAATAAATCAATCTAGAAACACAGTTCAGAAAGATGGCAGAATGAATGGGCAGGTAAGCTATTCAGACCCTATACAACAAAGAAACAAGAAACCAATGGAAACAGAGGGGTTTGGTCAATGACATGAGACAAAGTATGTGTGAACTGCTGTATGAAAAGTGAATTTACTACATAAATCTTCACTCAAATCCTAATTAAAAAAAAAAAGAAACAGAGGGGATAATCCTGGAACCCTGAGCTTCAAAGGGAAGGATGAAAGAGTGGAGTAAATACAGAAAATAAGGAAATAAACAGAGCTGTAGACCATCAACTGGCCTGACAGCATGGCTATTTTGAATATTTGCAAGCAGAATGCCAATCATGGCAGCACCCTTATCATCAACACCACTTGCCGAGAACTGCATGGGCAAGATGGTTCAAAGACCAATGTAAAAGTTTTGACCACAAAGTTCATCAAATGAAAAATAGGGGCAAACTTAGGGGCCCTAATTTATGGCATAAATAGACTAACAAACATAACCAAAAAGGCACAAACAACAGAAGATAAATTAGATGACTGGGACCTCCTAAAAATTAAGTTATTATGCACATCGAAAGACTTCTCCAGAAGAGTAAAAAGAGAATCTAAAGATTGAGAGAAAATACTTGGCAATGACATATCTGACAAGGGACTTATCTCAAAAATTTATAGAAAACAAGATGCAATGATGGGTCTCTCCTTGTCCATAGAAAAGAAGAATGAAGAAAACCAAAGAGTCATGGAAGCAATTAGTCCTCACGACTGGTACACCATGCAATCCGCAGCCTATACGACTGTGAGACCAGAACTAAATGGTGCCCGGCTACCACTGTCAACCACTCAGAGGAGACTCTAGTAGGAGATCCTGGATAGAGAGGGAGAACAATGTGGGACAAAATTCAAAATCATTTGGAGGAAAAAAAAAGGGGGACCAGGTTTGCTGGTCTGATAGAGCCTGGTGGAACCACTGAGACTATGGCCTCTAGCTGCCCTTCAGGTCTGGAATTGAACCCACCTGTGGCTTCCAGCCAAACAAAAGACAAGCATATGAGTTGAACATTTACCTGAGGTAGATACACTGCTTGGAGAGAATAATCATGGGAAAAAGAAGGGCTGTTTATGCACAGGGAGACAACTCATGGGCCAGGAGTACATGGAGGGATGGACACAGGGAAGAGGTAACTATCGGTAGGAAGTGGGAGGGGAGCTGTTGCATTGGGGTAAATTGTAGTCAATGTCATGAGACAAAGTGTATGTGAACTGCTGTATGGAAAGTGAATTTGCTCTGTAAACTTTCACCTAAAACACAATTTAAAAAAAAAAAAAATTACAGAAATGTCAACACCTCAACATCAAAAAGACAAATAATCCAATTTTAAGAAAATGGGCAGAGGACATGAATAGATACTTTATCAAGGAAGATATTCAGGCAGCCAACAAACTCAAAAAGAAATGTTTGCAATCATTAGCCATTAGAGAGATGCCAATCAAAACAATAATAAGGTATCATCTAACCCCAGCAACAATAGCAAAGTTCAATAAAACAGAACAAATGCTGGCATGGGTATGGAGAGACTGGAATTTTCATATACCACTGGTGAGACTGTAAAATGGTATAAACACTATAGAAAATCATATGGCACTTCCTTAAAAAGTTGAAAATAGAAATACCATTTGATCCAGCAATTCCACTACTAGGTATATATTCTAAAGAAGTGACATCCAGGACATGTATAGATATATGCACACCCATGTTCATCACAGCACTATTCACAATAGCAAAGAAATGGAAGTAACTTAAACACCCATCAACAGATGAATGGATGACCCAACTATGGTACATACACACAACAGAATACTATGCAACATTAAAGAATAATGAAGAATCTGCAAAGCACCTCATAAAGTGGATAAACTTGGAGAACATTATAATGAGTGAAATAAGTCAATTACAGAAGGACAAATATGGTATGAGTCCACCATTATAAAATGTCAAGGAAAGGTTTACACACAGAAGGAAACTTTTTTTGTTGGTTACCAGGGATGGGAAGGGAGGAGAAGTAAAATTGCTAGCTAGGTAAGAGATACATATTGATTTGGGTGAGGGAAAAGATAATATACCAAAAGCAGGCGACCAGTACAATATCTCTAAAGAAAAGGAAGACATAGAGAGGTGCACAAGAGGTACAGACAACAAAGGTAAATACTATTACACACACAATATTGCATTATCAGTAATAACAAACATTAATCGATGAGTGGATACAAAAGTAAACAGGCAAGATGCTCAGGTATGGGTAGGTGAACTGGAATATACCCATAACCATATATAGGTTTGATGATGATATTTCTATTTATGTACTTGTATATACTATAAAAACATCCCTATATAACAGAGTGAACAGTGGGCAAAGTTATGATAACTTCTTAACCACAACCAAATACTTTGAAGAAGTCAGTTGCTGGGTCTGTGGGCTAGGGACCATGGTTGCAGGGGACATCAAGTTCAACTGGCATTATATAGTACACAAAAACATTGTTCTATATCCTACTTTGATGAGTAGCAACTAGGGTCTTAAAAGCTTGCGAGCTGTCATCTAAGATACAGCTATTGGTCTCTCCTTATCCAGTGTAAAGAAGAGTGAAGAAAATCAAAGATGCACAGAAACAATTAGTGCCAGGGAAAAGTGAACCATGGGAGGAACCTCAGCCTACACGACCCTGAGACCAAAAGAACTAGATGGTGCCCAGCTACCACTGTCAACCACTCAGAAAGGGATCAAAATTAGAGTTCTTGGATAGAGTGGAAGGAGCTCTGGTGGTGCAGTGCCTAAAGCATTTGCCTGCTAACCAGAAGGTTGGCAGTTCAAACCCAACAGCCGCTCCATGGAAGGAAGATGGGGCAACCCACTTTCATAAAGATTTACCATCTCAGAAACCCAATGGGGGTTGCTATGAGTCAGAATCAACTCAATGGCAGTGAATTTGGTTTGGGGTTTGAATAGAGTGGGAGAAAAATGTGGAACAAAACTCAAAGTCATAAAAAAAAAAAAACAGCCTTACTGGTTAAGAGACTGCTGAAACCCTCAAGACTATGGCACCTAGTTACCTTTCTGGCCTGGAATTAAACTCACTGCCATGGCTCAAACTTCAGCCAAATAGATAAGTCTACAAGGTAAATGATTACACCAGGGAGGTGTAGTCCTTAGAACAATTAACCATGGGAGATCAGAAGGGCAGCATTTGTGCAGGAACAAAGCTCAGAAGGCAGAAATGCATAGGAAAGGAAGACACAGGGAAATGGTAACCACAGGGAGGAAGTGGGACAAGAGCTGCTACATTGTGGCAATTGCAATCAATGGCACAACAAAATGTATACAAACTGTTGAATGTAAAATGATCTGCTTTAAAAAATTTCACCCAAATCACAATAAAAAGTTAAAAAATAAAAAGAGGCAAAAAAAAAAGTACAAAAAATAAAACGTAAAAAGGATTATGACTATTCACAAAGGCATAGAAAAGATTCTCACTCCCAATCATAAGTCATACAACAAAAAAGAAGGGAGCACTGTTCAAATCATTCTTGAACAATTTTTACAAAGAAATAAAATGCTTTAATTCTCAATGTTTAAAGAAAGAAAACATTTATCAGTGTATATCCCTACCTCAGTCCGTTGCCTCCTCCATACAAAGGAGATGGCAAAGTATACTGCTAATAGTTATGCCTCCTCAGAGGATCATCCCTGTCCTTCAGGGCTACTTGCAACTGGAGCAATAATACCACTGCCGTCCAACTGACTGTCACTCATAGCAACCCCATAGGGTAGAGTGCAAGTGCTCCATAGTTTCCAAGACTGCAAATCTTTGCAGAAGTAGACTGCATCATCCTTGTTCAGCAGAGAAGCTGGTGGGTTCAAACTGCTGATCTTTTGGTTAGCAGCCTAGTGCTTTGACACAGTGCCTCTAGAGCTCCCTGGGGCTATAATAGAGTGGTCAATTTCTAGCTGGTACCAAAACAACACAATGAACTATCTGAATTGGGTCTAACTTCTTTCCTGCTTATCAGCTGGTTCCAGGGAACCCTTCACGAGGCCATAGGTATGAGTCAAAGGAGAAGTGTCAGATCAACAGAGGCAGATGCCATGGGAGTTTGGCTGCCTGTTCATTTAACTGATTCATAACTTCTGGAACCTTGAGCCCAGCCCTGAATGTACCATTGCCATCTAGAATGGACTGCTACTGTGCCTGTCTGCTAATAATACCTAGCTCGATATAAGCTTAAGACTTGTCAGATGCTTAGTTACTACTGGGGCCAAATGACACATCATGACCTTTTTTTCAAATGGAAAATGGTTAGCATGGCCTTACTCCAAAATCCTAGGGGTCCTCACTGCAACTCTCTCACTTCAGCTTTCAGAGACTCTTTACCTACAGATACCACCAGCAACATTATACCTGCTGTATGATTTAATCCAAAATGGCAGTAAAGTCTTTTTTGTGGCCTAAACCTGCTATATAGAACTCTCTTGTGCTCTGCACCTCATTCACAATTGGCAGCCTTCCAAATCACCCAATAAAGGACTGCAGACGTAAAAGAAAAAAAGAAACACAGCTCAGTTTGGGGGCTTGTGAGAATACCCAAGATCTTGTTTTATTTGTAATTAGAGAAAGTTATTTGAAATGTTATTTTTAAATGCTATCTCTAGAACAGAGGCTTTCACTTACATTGAGTAATACTTAAT